ACAAGTGCATATAAATATTTGTATAGGTTATAGAGGGTACCTTCCCAAAAGAAGCACTACTTTATCTTGATGAACTTGCTTGGCCATGCAACTGGTTCCCCTTTAGCTTCTTCCAGGTAAAAGTAATTGCGGCTTGCCCTATACAATGTTGCTTCAGTGTCATTAACATAGTTCAGCCACACTTTCCAACAGTCGGGACCAAGTAGAACACCCTCTATAGTAGCACTAGGATCGGTCGAAGCTATTTCACCACTAGCAACCACTTGTCTTGACCCACCCCAATCTAACAAATCACATTCCAATCTATTAATATGATTAGTATTAGGCTGAACGTTGGGAGTGTCATTGGGCAGAGCACTTGAATTACCACTTGACTGCCAAAGATGAACAAATAGAGTTGTCACATAAGAATCATTGCATACTTCAACAGATTAGGATACTTCAACAGAATAGGATGAAGAAAATTACTTACCATCATGGATTTTGGTTGATTAATTTCACTTGTAACCCCCACTCTAAAGGCTTCCATTTGTTGATTGACGATATATTGTATCTGAGCCTCATTTTTTTTTTTATTGTTCGCGTTGGTGTATTTGTGCATCCACTTTTGAGGGAGTTACCCCAAAACCAAGTCCTCGGACTCTCCCCGGACGTTCTGGCCCAAATGCTTTTGAGAGAGCATCATCATGGATAGTGCCTGTGTTCTCGGAAGTCTTGGAAATTTCTTGCACTTTCCTCTGCAATATTGTGCATAATATATGATTATTAGTTTATCAAATATTAATGATTAAGTTAAATAAGGAGGAAACAAGTATTACCATTGTCTCCCGAGTTGTTTCATTAAGTGGTTGCCCATTTTTTCTCAAATGTCCTTTAATCCATACATCAACTCTTGACATCAAATCAGGTGTAGCACTCTCATTTCTCTACATAATAGTTATACATACAGAAATCAATCAGTAATTATATATATTTATATTCTTAAAGAATACAACATTTACATTAACAACTATTATAACCCAAAGCATATGCAATGAAACAAGGAAACAATTAGTGGTACCATTTCAGCCTCTAACCGAGCATAGCCTTTACGACTCATAGTGCGTTGAGTTTTCTGCCAAGCTCTCATTTGTCTAAATTTTTCACTTTCTGCCTACAGAACATACAAGTTAAAAATCATAAACACACACACACACATATATATATATACACAAAAATACACAAATATAGCAAGAGATGATGCTGATGACAACAATGATAATGCATGATAAAATATATTGATCATATGACAAGCAAAAACATCAGAGTGAAGGTGGCCTTCCAAAAATTTAGCCACTTCATGAGCAAGTGAGAAACCAAACCCTGCATCACATTCAAATCACTTTTAAAAATAAAAAATAAAAAAATCCCGAGTTGTTTCATTTTTTGTTCTGGATGATTGTTTCTGACTCCACTTCCAAATCCCTCAACCTTGTAGTAAATGATCTCATCATAATGATTGTTTAATATGATGTCATATGCTAATTAATTACTGAAAATAAATTTTAGAAGAAGAGTCTACATATCAGACCAAACTTGGAGAAAACAACCAAATTAAGTAGCATAATAGCAACATTACTAGTATATTTTAAAGGTCATAGTCTATTTTAAAGGTCGTTGGGCTAATATATGAAACTTATAGCAATCGAAATAGACTTCATATTGCTTTTCAGCAGCACACTAGCAACATTACTCAAACATAAACTAAGAAATACAGAGCTAAAGAGATCATTTTTACCTTGGACTCTTTAGAACAACGTTTTCTAACAAATTCCATCCATTCTTCCATTGATCTGACATTGTCCGGTTTCATAAGAGCGGCAGCACGTGAATTTTTTCCCACATCCCTTATCTTTCTTGTAACTTTCGATTTATGCCCACACCAATTTCGTCCCATGAGTTTAAAAGTCATTTTCTTATGACAATACGGGACCACAAATCTTTCCTACACGAGTTTAGTAAAACACAAGAATTAAAAAAAAAAAAAAAAAAAAAAAAGGGATACTAATCATAATACTCATAATAATGAAAGCATAATAAATTTGCTAGTACCTTTATACATGTCCACAATCACTCTTTGGTTACCTTCGGCACAAGTTTCCAAGATTTGAATGTGATTTTCACCATCTCCCTTGCTAGTATCCCCAAACAACTAGTATATTTAGCAGCTTCCTTCCCAATTGGCTGCCCTCTTTCATTAAATGTCATTGAAATTGGTTCACTCTTTTCTATACCCAAATCTTTCAGTTTTGCATTCCCCCTACCCTTCTTTTCCTGGGTATCCGTTGTGCTCTCATTGTGATTTTCAATAGGATCAGATGTAGCCCCAACGACTCCTATGATATCATCTCTAGAAGGTATGTGTGGAGAATTGGAAACCCCCTCTGATATGTAGATACCATTAGTGCTTTGATTTCTCATCAAAGCTATAACAGCTCGCTGTTCTTTTTTTGCTCTCTTAGCACCTTGCTCTCTTGTCACTGAAATTGGTTCACTACATCTTCTGCCCAAGTCTTCTAGTATTGCCTTCCCCTTGCCCTTTCTAACACCAGCAACTGCTATGATATGATCACTAGAAGTTGTGCGTGGAGAACTAGAAACCCCCTCTGATATGCTGATACCATCTGTGCTTTGATTCCTCATCGAAGCTATAATAGCGAGTTGTTTTTTTGTTCTTTTAGCACCTTGCTTGGATGACTTCAAATATGCAAAATAAGCATTTTCATAAAACTTACGTAACTAGAAAAACATCAATTATGCAAAGTCAAGTCAGAATTTACCTCTACATGGCTGAATATAATACCCTCAGCACTTTGATTGCAGTTAGCAGCTTGCTGCAATTTTTTTGCTATATTAGCACCTTGCTTGGATGAATTCAAACATGCAAAACAAGATAGATTTTAACAAATTCATAAAACTTGAGCAATTAGAAAAACCTTTAAATATGCAAAGTAAAGTCAGATCTTACCTCTACATGGTTGAACATAAAACCCTCAGCACCTTGATTGCACTTAGCAGCTTGTTGTTGTATTTTTACCATCTTAGCACATTGCTTGGATGACTTCAAATATGCAAAATAAGATAGACATTAACATTTTCATAAAACTTAAGTAACTAGAAAAACATCAATTATGCAAAGTCAAGTCAGAATTTACCTCTACATGGCTGAACATAATACCCTCAGCACTTTGATTGCAGTTAGCAGCTTGCTGTGGTTTTTTTACCATCTTAGCACATTGCTTGGATGACTTCAAATTTGCAAAACGAGATAGACATTAACATTTTCATAAAACTTAAGTAACTAGAAAAACATCAATTATGCAAAGTCAAGTCAAAATATACCTCTACATGGCTGAACATAATACCCTCAGCACTTTGATTGCAGTTAGCAGCTTGCTGTGATTTTTTTGCTATGTTAGCACCTTGCTTGGATGACTTCAAACATGCAAAACAAAGTATTCATCAACCAATTCGTAAGACTTAAGTAATAAGAAAATTTTCTTCTATAGAGAATAGAAGAAATTCAATACTTACTTGTGCAGGGATAAACATAATACCCTCAGCAGCATATACTCCCATTATTTTGTGGTTTCTTTAGAGGCTGAAAATTCTGGCAACCCATTATTTTAGCAGCATATATATTCAAAACATAACCACAAGACATAAAAATCAACAGCTATTAAGCACCCACTTTGAATTAATCCATAAATCAACAGCTATTAAGCACCCATTTTTTGGTTTTCAGCTTTTTCTTTTTCTTGTTTCCATCAGCTGGCACATTTACAGTCACGCCCTCACAACCCAACCGTGCATAATGCTCATCATCATCGTTAACATTTGACCCAAGTTTTGATACATCTAATGGCGTGGGTGGAACATATGCATTATCTTCAAAAGTATCCGACTCATAAAACCCTCTTGGCGGTGCTTTAAGAACAACATACCAACTTGAATTTTCAGTGTCTCTAGAATAAAAAATTTGTTTTGCTTGTGATGCAAGAATAAATGGATCTCGTTCAAATTGACTTTGACCTTCGTGGAGGTTAACCAATGTAAATCCTTCATCAACTTTGACACCAGTATTGATGTTCGCCCACTCACAATTAAATATTGGAACTTTTAATGAATAGTAGTCTAAAAATATGATGTGCTTCAAAACCCCATAGTAAGATATTCTCCCCACAGCTTGATTTGTGTCTCTAGCACTAGATTGACAAACAGTTTCAGCCTCTAAAGAAACACCACTATTTTGTGTGCTTCTCTCAACATCCCTTGTGTGAAACCTCTGCCTATTAATGATACAACCAGAATGGGTTATTACATTTTTCTGGGCCCATTTGCAAGGCACTTCAACATTTCTGACACATCACTACCACTTGCTTGTACTTTATCAGCGAGCCATGCAAAAAAAGTCTCTATATGTTTCCTTAATAGTTCATTTTTATTCCTTAAGAGACGCTTGTCCAAACACTTAAGCTCCTTCAAATGAATTCTATATGAAAAACAAATACGAAAAGAAAAATGTTAAGCTAGTTATAAAATTAAATTATATATTAACAATTTTCGGTGCCTTTACACTTACTCAATATACGGTACCACTTCTGGATTATTGAATAACACATAACGATGCGCTATCTCCAACATGTCAGAAGGCATTAATAAATGCATAACCTAAGAATTGAAAACAAAATGTTACATGAAATAAGAATTGAAAAAAATTAACAATTGCATAACCTAAGAAGTTAAATACCTCTCAAATGGATACATTCAACGATATTGTACCGGTCCACAAATGCGAGCTTCTCTTGCAATGTGAATTGTTAAATGAACCATCACGTCAAAGAAAGATGGAGGAAAAAATCTTTCAAGCGTGCACAAAGTCTCTGCAATATCATTCTCACATTTTCTAAGGAGTTTTTATCGATCACCCGTTGACATACTTCATTAAAATATGCACACAGTCAAAATATTGCATTCCTAGAACCCTTCTGTAGACTACCCCGTAATGCAACTGGTAACAATTGTTGCATTAAGACATGATAATCATGTGACTTTAAGCCAAGTATCTTGCATTCATCTATCAAGACACATTTCCCAATATTAGAACTATAACCATCAGGTAATTTTAACTGTTGTAACCTTTCACAGAAACGCCGTTTCTCCATCTTTAATAACGTGTGAGGTCCTGCTGGCAAGTAAAATTTATTGTCTCTCTTTATTGGATGCAATTCATCCCTAATGCACATCTCTTGCAAATCCAAATGTGAATTGAGACCATCCTTTGATTTTCCTTTCATATCCAATAACGTTCCAATAATACTCTCGCACACATTTTTTTCAATGTGCATCACATCTAAATTATGACGCAAAAGTAATACCTAGCATGCCAAGTGAAAAAAATAATAATAATAATTAGTAACGTTATGCACACCATATGCAACTGAAAAATGTTTAAAACATTATATTTATTTTAATACAAATTATTTACCTCCCAATATGGTAACTCGAAAAAAATAAATTTCTTCTTCCAAGGACAATCCGAAGTTTTCTCACACTTCTTTCGCTTTTTATCTTGTTTTTTATATTTTCCCCATTCCTTTTTAATATTCTTAACTACACGAAGAATGTCTGTTCCGGACAAAATTTTAGGTTTCCCCCTTCTTTCTTCATTTCCATTCAACCAACGTTTTTTCCTTCGAAATGGGTGATTGTAAGAAAGGAATCGTCGGTGGCCCAAGTAAACATGTTTCTTACAATGAATCAGCCATTGAGAGCATGTGTCAGCATCACATGTTGGACAAGCTGTTTTACCCTTTGTTCCATAACCAGAGAGATTAGAAAAAGCTGGAAGATCATTCATTGTCCACATCAAAACCGCCTTCAAATTAAACCTCATCTTACTGTGTGCATCATAAACCTCCACACCTTTGTCCCATAACTCTTTTAAATCTTCTATAAGTGGTTGTAAGTATACATCAATGTCATTCCCTTGTTGTTTTGGCCCTGGGATTAATAATGTGAGAATCATATTCTCTTTAGACATGCATGACAATTCAGGAAGATTATACATCACTGGCCAACAACTATATCTAGAGCTAAGATCCCCAAATGGATTGAACCCATCAGAAGATAGGCCAAGCCTCAAATTTTTGGGATCTAATGCAAAATCGGGCCACTTTTGATCAATTGTGTCCTATGCAAGGGAATCAACTGGGTGTCGCATCTTCCCATCTGAACTTCTGTGAGTAGAATGCCACAATAATCCTTCTACCTTATTAGTTGACTTAAACATTCTCCTTAGTCTTGGTATTATTGGAAAGTACCGCAACAGCTTTGTTGGAACATTATTTTGAATCTTTTTAGTATGTGTGTTGACTTTCCATCGTGAAGTATCGCATTTTGGACATTTATCCAGACTTTTTTTCTTTTTTCGAAACAAATAACAATCATTAATACAGGCATGTATCTTTTCATACCCCAAATCAAATGTCTTGAGTAACTTTTTTGTTTCATAAAAACTAAGGGGAAGTGTGTTGTCATCTGGGAGCATGTCATCCACTATTTTAAGGAGTGCACTAAATCCTGTATCAGATAGATTATATGCAGTTTTGTGCTTGTATAAAGCAATAATGGCAGAAATCCTAGTATACTTTGTGCAACTAGGATATAGATGTCTTTTGGTATCTTCCAAAAAAATTTTGAATTCCGTTTCTCTTCCTTCATTTGTAGGCTCTATAATATCATTACCATCGTCATTGTCACCATCATCATCACTACTAAAATAAACATTTCTATACATCCTACACGCCTCTGTCATTTCCACATCATCTCTATCTCCTTCATCTTGTTGAGACATAGGACTTTCTCCATGAAAAACCCAAGTTTTGTATGTTGGTTCTATTCCAAACATCACCACATGTGCAAACACGATATCAAAGTGCTGATAACATGCATTTAAACAGTGCCTGCAATGGCACATGATCTTATCTGGGTTTCCAGCATTAGCTTGAGCCATATCAACAAACCTTCTAGCTCCATTTTTATATTTTATCGAAGCTCTACAAATACAAACTCATAATTTCATTTTATTGAAACAAGTAAAATTAAAATACAAAAAATCCTCAAATCAATTCAATTTCATGCAACAAACAATGCAAAGAGAACGGAACATAGAAATCATGTTGTTGTATATAATAATTTTCTAAAAACAGAGACTAATAATATCTCTAGGGTTCTATGTGTTAAAGCTACATTTAATTTCCTATAATGAAATCATTTTAAGGTTCGAATTTCAACATAATATAGTAATTTGCTATGTTGATGAACCAATTGTGAAACACAAAAACTGAAACCTACATAACTCCTTAATTAAGAAAAAAGTTTTTTCTTGGACAGGGAGTGAAAAAGAAGCAGAAACAGCACGGCATTTTTTTATGAATAATTAAGAAAAAATAAAAAGCGATCTCAAAGCAATCAAGCAACATACACTAGTTCCAGATTGAAATTTACTGAAACTAAAAGCATTAAAAATATATTAACTTGAGCCATATCAGCAAACCTAAAATTAATGTGTACTTACAACCACTTATAGAAGATTTAAAATACAAAAAGTTCAGGTACCGTGTGTGTGTTAACTTCTTATGATCTATCATATACTCTGACTAGAGTTAAAATACAAATAGTCATTCACTAGTTGGATAGAGGTTCTATTGTGTAGAATTATCATGCAACATTCTCAGTGACAAGAAAGTCTTATAGTTGTTTTTCGATGTTAATATTTCTTGAAATTCTAACTAAATTTTGCATCTGCAGAGACGTGGGATTAATGCACTAATGTTCAAATAGCCCAAAGGATATATAATTTTTATACATTATGTGCTAACTAAAATAACCTGTTAGTAATGCGAGACCAGACTTTGTCCATCATCTTTGTCAACCTACTTGAAACCTACATGTACCTTTTGATGAAACAAACCATGTTTTGTAGTGACAGAAGTACATCAAAGCAACAAAGCATTTGCATATGCACAAACCAAACAAATTCATACACATTGTCCCCATAAATACGAACCTTAAACTATAGGCATCCAATTTGAATTTAGATACACAGTGAAGCACTTTGAATTTGATGGGAAAACAAAATGATGGAAAGAAAGAACCCGGGAATGGTTTTGGGCCATTTCACCTATATAACAACACATACATTGCATGTATTATATTAAGTGTCAAGCAATATAGAAATACCAAAGTGAAACATTATAGAGACATTTTGTCGAACATTTGGAAGTCATACAAATACTCTGCTATAGAGAAGATCCTCAAATCAATTCAATTTCATGCAACAAACAATCAAAGATATCAGAACAAAGAAATCATGTTGTTGTATATAAAAATTTCTAAAAACAGAATAGTAGAGAAGACATAGCATGTAAATATAACATAAACATATGAATTTGTATATATAGATTGGGAATGTAATATAAAACCTAATAGAATCATCACAATTTCAAGTATTTGACGAAAATATGCAAATATATATATATACACACACACATACACACACATGTTATACATATTTATAAATTCCTAATTAGGAAATTTTCACAAACACCGATTCTACGTTTGAGTAGAGAAATTGAATTTCTCATAACAATAGATCAACATAAATGGAAGCTAACGAAGTTATATGTGTGTGTGTGTATATATATATATTGTATATATAGACAGAGAGAACCGTATACGACATTTGAGAGCTGAGATTCAACTTTTGAAGGTCAAAGAAGTTGAGAGAGGAACTTACAGAGGACGCCATTGCTGCTTATGTAGAGAAAGGAACTTACAGAGATACGAGTGCATAGATCCAGGCTTGGTTGGTCAAATTCAAACTCTCAAATCTACATATTCATCAGTGATGATAGAAAATCAAACTCTCAAATCTACAAATTCATCAGTGATGATAGAAATCGACGCAATATACGCTCAACTTTTTAGGGCTTTTTGGTGAAGACTGTGGAGTTATATAACATAATGGAAAAAAACGTGAATATGCTTTTAGTTGACCGGTGTTTTGAAGCCAAAAACGTGAATTGTGTTTTATTAAATTAATTTAAATTAAAAACTTAAACATTACTTAAACACATTCATTAAATGCAGTAAATAAAAAAAAAAATATGTGGTAAATATGAAGTTATCTTTTAAAAAATTACTTGACATTAATATTTAGTTTTTAAAATAAAATTTGGTTTTAAAAATGAAATTTTTACTTTTTTACAAGGTTTAAAGTTTAAATGTAGTAAATGAAATGTGGTAACTAACCATTTTTGTTGTAGTGTTACCTTATGATATGTTTAAAAATAAAGGGTTAAAATCATAAAACCCCCACTATTTTCAATTTTTGATCATAAAATCCCAATCTGTTTACCCCAATTCTGTTAGTTTGTGACGTTAAAGTACTCAATTGAATTAGCAAAATATTTTTAGTGACAAAATTACCCCTGCAAAGATATGTGTCAACCATGTGATGTTACACTTTTTTTGTTATTCCAAAAATGCTCCTAAGCATGCTAAATAATAGAAGCCGTTGTTTACCTATTCTACTGAAAATGATTGAATTTTAATGTTTGAATTAAAATTTTAAATAACTTATGACTGAAGATATTAAAAGAATATTTTAAAAAATTTATCATCAAATTATACATTTCCTTTTAAAACACTGATAAGACCTTTCATTTTATTTATTTTTTAGAAATATAATAAGTCTAACATTAGAAATCTTCTTCTAATTGAGTTTTGAATCAATCGGTTTTTTATTTATAACATTTTTCAAAAGAAGAATTAAACTTTTGTAATTAAAATTTTACTCAAACTAAATTTAGTGGTTATCCAAAATCTATTAGTTTGCCATTTAAACATAATTGAAAAAAAATTATTAACTATCCTAATTGTTGTCAATTTTTTATATTTAAATTGTATAGTAATTAGTCAATTTTTTGTGTGAAAATGATTCAATTTTTCAAAAATATAAAATAAATAATGATATTTTAATGACTTATTTAGTTTTTTGTTTACCAAATTATGAATTCTACAAAAGATTTTTTATTTAACTTGAATTAAATTATAATATTTGCCTAAGGGTAATTTTGAAATTGTAAAATATCAAAATTTTATTTTTTAAATAAAGTGGTATATCATAAGGGTAATTTAATCATTCAACCAGTCCTTAACGATTCATTGACGTAATTGAGGCAATGTGATAATTTTGTAATAGTATTGGGGTTTTTAAAAACAGGTTGGGGTTTTATGATAAAAAATTTTAAAGTAGCATGGGCTTTATGGTTGGCACATGTTCTTACAGGGTAATTTTGTCACTAAAATTTAATTGTCAATGCATGTGAAGACCACGCGCGTCCCAAACTAACAGAATTAGCGTAAAATGATAACTTTGTAATATTATTAGAATTTTTAGAAACAAGTTGGGGTTTTATAATAAAAAAAATAATAGTATTAGGGTTTTATAATTTAAGCCCAATAATAAATAAGGGTCAAAACTCCTTGTATATGTAATAATCCTCATATATATATATTCACATGGTATTCAGCCCAAGATCCGAAAGAGCCGACGCTATCAACGGTTCACTACTTCACTGCAGGATGGCTCTATCAAAAGTTCTTTTTTAATTAATAATTTCTTATATATATATATGTGTGTGTGTGTGTGTATGTGTGTGTGTGTGTTCACATGCATAATTTTTTATATACATTCACATGTTTTTGTCTGCTAACAAAAAATCACATACACACACATACGAAGATTTGGTTTACCTTAAAAAATAAATAAATAAATAAATCCGAAAATCTTACACTATCAAAGGTTCATACTATCAAAGTTCTTTTTTTAATAATTTGTTATATAAATATTAATTATATCAAGGTTCCCTAAATTATTAATTTTTTACAATTAAGGACAAATCTATTACAAAAATATTATTTACCATTTCTCATTAAATTTATCATTTCTTATAAAAAAAATTATTATTTTTCTTTTATCTAAATATTAATTATAACATTCACCTTAATTTTATTATTAGTATTATTTATCATAAAAAATAAATAAAAAAATAAATTTGTAACTACCATTTTCTAAAATGATTCATTTATTATTAAAATTCTACTTTTATAATAAAACTTATAAAACTTTTTATCGTAAAAAAAAATACACTCTTTTTCATATAATATATGCATGCAAAATTAATAAATTACTTAAATAAATAATACAATATTTTTAATGCAATATATTCATGAAAAATTAGGAAATTACTTAAATTGTTTAAAAAATTTCTACTTAAGATTTTTATTTAATAATTAAAGTAAATTTATTCAAATTTAGTGGAGAATGTGTCTTTAAATTAGTATAATTTTTTGTCATAATTTATTTCAATAAATAAGTAAATAAAGAAAACTAGATTAAGTGCAATTCTATAAGAAAGGGACTTATGATCATTTAATAAAAAAATAGTCTAGCCATTGGGATATTTTACTTTTTACAACAAAATATGATAGTTAATGAGACATTATGCACAAAATATATTTCAAGGACTTATTTGTAAATTTAAACATAATGTAGTAGGTATTTATTTTTTATTTTTTTTTTTCTTTCACTTTACCCAGTATTATATTGGCATAGTTTTCAGGCCATGAGCCCAAAACCTCGTTTACAGGCAAAAAAAAAAATATATATATATATATATATATATATATATATATCCTCAAATCTGACGCTATGTAAGTTTTGGTACTTCGCACAAGCACACAACCAAACTGTCACGTTCACATCGCAGTAGCTGTGTTTTTTAATTCTTAAGGTTACGTGGTCAACATTTTACAATGCTGAGATGAGGTACACGAGAAAAAGAAATAAAAGGAAATAATGAATTTTTATTTTTATTTTAAAAAAAGTAGGATTCTCTGTTATCATGACTCTTGCTGATTCCGAAAGGTTCTAATCGGACCACTAGA